AGAGACAGGTAATTGGTTGTGAGGCTGTGGTCTTCAATATTTATTAGCCCAAAAAAATTTTATAACTTTACTGAGATATAATTCACATACTGTACAATTGCTCCATTTAAAGTCACAATTCACTGTTTTAGCACATTCACAGAGTTGTGCAATCACCACCATGATCTAATATGAGAACATTTTTGTATCCCTTAAAAGAGACTCTATGCTCATTCACTATCACTTACCAGCTCCAAACCTCTAGCCCCAGCCTTAAGCAACCAGGAACTATTTTCTGTCTCTATAGATTTACCTATACCAGATATTTTATGTAAATTGAATTGTGTTATATGTGGCCTTTTGTGATGACTTTTTTCACTCAGCACAATATTTTCAAGCTTTATCCAAGTTGTAGTACATATCAATACTTCAATTCTTTTTATTGCCAAATATATTCCATTGTATGGATATGCTATATTTCATTTATTCATCATTTGATGGACATTTGTGTTGCTTTCCTTTTTTTGGCCATTATTCATAATACTATCTACTGAAAGTGTGTTGTGTTATTTTTATTGATCCCTTGGTCAGTTCTGAATTATTTAGTCATTTTATTTCTTAGGCTTTACAACCCAAGTATATGGTTAGAATCTTTTAGAGAACTCATATTTTCCATAATTGGAAATAATTTCATTAAAAGCAAAATAAAATCATTGTAATATACAATAACCTTGTGATTTGAAAGTCCCACTGAAGAGATCAGAACAGTTTTAATGAGGTGATAATGATGTACAAATATTTTGGAAACTGAGCCTTTATATAAATATGTAAGTTTCTAGGTCGGCGGTCATTGAAGAGTATCTCAGTGCCAATTTTAAGCTTAGTGTTAGATTTTTGAAAAATAAAGCTACATCACATAATAAACAACTATTTATGCATCTAAATGCTTCATTTGGCCTTCTTCCAACTCTCCTTTGGGTAAGCATGTGGTAGTCTATCATTTGGTATGTTGCTGGCCTTACTTAATTTTTGAGGCTCTTGAGATGAGTTCAAAAAGCATTAACAAAATATGTATACTTTGCATAAATTACAATATAGTACACTGCACTCACAGACATGTAATTTATTATGAGAAAATCATTCAATTTTCACAAAATAATGTTAGGCTAGATCATTAGATTCTAGAACAAAGTGTAATTTTAAAAAATCCACAGAGTTTGTTTTTTTTCCCTTGAAAGCTACAACAGATCAATGTTGCATTCCTGGTAAAAATGACATCTTGTTTTTGTTTTTAAAATGACATATTTAAGCTTCTTTTACAATTTTAACTCATATAAATTCAATTTAGTCTCACATTAATATGTTTATTTCTATTTTCAGTATCATAAAGTATGAATTTCATGTCCTTTGAGGATGCATCTAGGTATTGCTTTTAACTGTCCACCATGCTGCTTCTGTATTCACAATATTTAGTTTTTATGGCTTTTGATCAAAATTCAACATGGAAAATAAAAGCATCTTGTCATTTTGCATAGACATATATAACCTTGGTGTTGATAGCTTCCCTTTAAAATTATCTCGGTATAAGGAAACAAACACTTGGCTTGTTGTCCTAAGAATTATTGGAGGCAAAGGCTGAAGACCTCAATGTGCAGTGCAGGTTATCCCAGGAAGTCTGGATCTAGCTGATGCCCAAACTGACATCATGAACTCTTTGTGAAACATCCATGTTCATCAAATAATTGTTAATGCATCATTCACTTTGTGTTGGGTATTGCTGTGCTCAGAGAATTCCATGCCAAAGAGCAACTTAAGTGTAACAGTGTTTTGTTCAATTAAAAAAAGCAATAGCAGGATTCAGACACAAGATTTTCCAGACTGTTTATTTCATCTTGTTGATATAAATACATTTTTAGATAACTGAAATGTTATAATTTGTTTGAAAATTTTTTTCTTCTAATAATGCCAATAAAGCATTTCTAAAGTATGTGATCCATCCATAGATTTGGAATCTAATCAAACATGCTAGTTAAGTGATTATGACTCTTTAGTATCACTTACTCAAGAAAAGTCTAAGAAACCCAACATTTTCAGATGCAATCATGATGTTGAGTACTGTCCTGGGACAAGAATGACAATGCTAGCTGCTCAAGATCTGCCCTCTCTGATGGGGATAAGTACTTGTCCATTACTGATCCAATTGAGAAATTTAATGGCATACAAACAATGTAAGGGATTATGATACATTTTCAAACTTCATTTGAAACAATGTGTTAAAGTAATGGCAATAAATTACTATGCTAGATGAACATCTGGATTGTGGCTGTTTAAAACCTATGAAAAATGTACTAATAACTTCAGAGCAAATTTATCATTGAATTATTTCTAAAAGCTGATGATTTCATACACAAATTAAATACTATGATTTTCTTAAAATGCATTGTTACAATGTAAATTTTGTATAAAATGGGACTATTGTGGACCTCATCAAGGAGATTTATTACTAGAACTAGATTGGAAATGGAAATAAAGTCACAGAAATCTCCTGTTTTATTGTAGGCAAACATGGATGCTTATTTATTTACTTTAATAGTTAATTCACCAAGGTTAATGCTATGGAATAGAGCTACTTCAAAATAATATGGAGTAGAACCTATTTTGAAGTAATAAATTTTGAATAAATTATTTTGAAGTAGGATCAGCAACATGCCAATCTGAGTTCAGGTGCAATCGGTAGGTGGAGGATTTGCAGACAGAAAACCACAACTAGAGTCCTGCTAGAGGGGCTAATCTGTTGAAAGGAAAATGAGCTTCTGTAGAAACAAATAAATGCTTCATACTTGTTTTTAAAAGTGTAACATGTACCTGCTATAAAACTGAAAACTAAAAATGGTTATAGCAGCTGTTGTTGCAACCTCAGAAGCAGTGACAGTAATGAAAACATTATACCAATGTCTAGTCCAATAAAACTCTTGTTTTTCTGTGCTTTGTGTGGGTGGACAAATAAAGTAATAATAGGAAAGAAAGAGAAGTTGCATCACTTTAGCCTAAACATACTGTGAAAATTTATTGTGGTTTATTTGTAGAGAGAAGATATTAATAATAACTTAAAAATGACCTTAAGGAATCCCAGGAATTTCTACAGTTCATTACTCATGGCAAATAAAAGTAAATACTTAAACTTACCATGAACTTTTTAAGCTGAAAAGCCAAAATTCTTGTAGAATGGGAAATGGACAGAAATGATGGTTTAAATTTTCAGTGGCATGCCCAAGCCATAAGTATAGGCAGAAAGCCATGCTGAATCATAATTTATTTAATGGGGTAGAAATGATATCTTTAATCTTAATTTTATAGCTAACATTATAAAATAAGACTGATCATAGATATCATAATTCTTAATGTGAACCTGAGGATTATTTTAGAGAGATATATTCTACCTGTACGATGGAGTTTATGTGAAATACTATCAGACTCAAAAGTAAACTTAAACTCTTATCCTCAAATAGAGGTATTTATTTTAAAGAGATAGACCTTTAAGAAGATTTAATATCAACATTCAAGAATGAAGTCAACAAAGCATTCTGTGATACTTACAAACGTGAAATAAGCGGTTATAACTTAATTAAAAAGCTGCTCAGCACTATTAAAACATTATGCATATCACTAAGAAAACAGTGGTATGAATAACATGTCTTTCTATGCTAAAATTATGTCTAAAATTACCTACAGGAATCACTCTCCCATTACTTTGCCTTCTCCATAAAGAAGTTAAATCTAGAGACCTTTCAGTTTGTTATGGTCTTTTCTCCCCCTTCAGGAACTTCCATTAGCACACAACCAGCTAGGTATCTTTCTGCTAGAAATGAAGGTGTGATAAGCAGCCTTCAGTACCAGCTTAGTCAGTTTTCCCTATTCTTAAAACTTGATTCAGGCTTAGTTTAGCTTAATTTCACAGCTGTACCCAATGGTTCATGTACACACATGAATAACTTAATTCTTAGAATGCTGCTTAGAATGTCCATCATGAAAACTTAAAAAATACATTGAGAAAACCCTTAAAATAATGTAGAATATATTCTGTGCTTTTATCCTCCAAACCTGTGGTCTTACCAATCATGATATTACTGGATGCAAAGGGAATGAAAATAACAGTCCGTTATATTCTATGTGAATTATGAAAGGTTAAGGTATCATATATGAGAACTCCCCCACCCCAAACACATTTTGGATTATTTGCATGCCAGTAATGAAGTTCACTTTTCACACTTTTTATCACCTTTCCAGCTGGAACATATAAAAGTTATGACCTCTAATCTCTAATACATTTATGATCTATTAAACTAAGTTAACCCTATAAACTTCATAGAAGTGCAAATGTTGTCTAGAACAATACTGTTGGATAGAAATTTCTGTGATGGAAATGTTGTGCATCTACACTGTCCAACAGAGTAGCCACTAGCCACATGTAGCCATCAAGCCTTTTAAATGTGGCTTGTGTAACTAAGGAACTGAATTTTAAATTGTATTTAATTTTAATTAATTTAAATAGCCGCATGTATTGGATTAGCACAGGTCTAATAGACCCTTCAAACATTCAAGTGTTGGAAATGCAAGGTCCATTATAGGCAATCTAGGAATCTTAAAATCTCACCATTGTGTTAAAAACTCTATGATTCCTTCAGTATGAATTTTTCCAGAACTTTCAAATTTTCAAAAGATAAAACCCAAACCAACCAAATCCTTTAGTCTGCTTTTCTGTATGAATCATCTTTTTGCAAAGAGGTGTAAGACTGATTGTATTGCCAACTCTGCCCCCTCTTCTACAGACAGAACTCAGTGATTAGATTCTGCATTTATTTAGGTTATTTGCCTAAAAAACCTGGTTTCCATACTGCAAATAAATGACAGGAACTTTTCCACTAGATTATCCCAGACAGCACAAATGTTCTTTCCAAAAGTGGAGCCTGGAACCACAACTCCCTCACATTGCCTGTTACATCTGTTTATGCTTATAGAAGTGACATCCACTTCACAGACAGAGAATGCCAATTTCTTGGGAAAGGACCCAGAATTTGGTGACGCTTAAAGAAAAAAAAATAAGCCCTCACTGTTTAAAATTTAAAAAATACATAGAATTGAGTATTGAGTAGCTAAAAAATCCTTTTGAAATGAAAAGATTTTGCTACCAGAGTATATAGAATCTGTGTATGGACTTGCCTAGGTTCATATTCAGCCATAATCATTCACTATTAATAGCTACTAGAGAAGCGGATAAGTTACAAAACTTAAACCTTAGTTTTTCCGTCAGTGAAATGGGACTAAAAATAGTTCTGTTGGGAAAACTTGCGAAAGACATTGAAATGAGCAAAAGATTACTGTTTGTCCTTTCAATGGAATGCTGGATCTTATCCACAGGGCTCCAGAGTGTTGTGAATTTACAGTAGTCTGTACCTTAGAGTGTCTTTCACTAGGCTATTTTACTACTCAGTAAGCTGTAGAAACGTTTGGTAATGTGTAAATGAGTATTATCTACAGAATGCAAATTTATTTTGTTACTTTAGAGATACAACTGGTTACTGCCCTGTAAAGCAGATAATAATAAACATTTCAGTGCTCTATAGAATATTAAGCAGCTTTGCCTCTTCTTGCCTATATGTCTTCACAGTCTCACATAAATGGGTTGTAGTATCTTGCTGGGGTTCCCTTTCTAATTAAGAGCTATAAAAATTTTGATCCATGTTCATCTTATATTTCTACCATTGACATGTTTTTACCTTCTTGAAATTTTTTTCTTTAAGAGTTCCTACTCCTTAGGCTTTTTGGAAGGATTAGTTTAAAGATCTGTATTGACAGTCATGATCAGTTTTTGTTTTTTTTTTTGAGACGCAGTTTCGCTCTTGTTACCCAGGCTGGAGTGCAATGGCGCCATCTCGGCTCACCGCAACCTCCACCTCCTGGGTTCAAGCAATTCTCCTGCCTCAGCCTCCTGAGTAGCTGGGATTACAGGCACGCGCCACCATGCCCAGCTAATGTTTTGTAGTTTTAGTAGAAACGGGGTTTCACCATGTTGACCAGGATGGTCTCGATCTCTTGACCTCATGATCCACCCGCCTCGGCCTCCCAAAGTGCTGGGATTACAGGCGTGAGCCACTGCGCCCGGCATGATCAGTTTTATACTTTGCAGGAAGGTGGTAACACTTCCGGTATTTGGGGGTGGGAGAGGGTGTACTGAGCGTTTAGAAAAGGGCGGGGGGGGGGCGTGGGCTGAAAAACTCTCCCTAGACAGAAAAGGCAGAAGACCTCCTCATCCCTTTCTCTTTGGCAGTGGGACCTTAAGGTCAAGGTGAGTAGTAGGCCAGGCGCAGTGGTTAGGAGAAGGCCACTCTAGACTTGGGCCTATGTCTTGACCTTCCAATTAACGGAGTTAACTGCAGACTAAGTGAGGCCCCTGGCAGCTGTTCCCCTCAGAACCCAGTTCCGGAGCCAATACCCGAACCGGAAGCCGGCCTTGCCCCCAAGCCGGAGAGGCCCCTCGCCCACGGCCGAGGGGGTGGGGCGGCCTTGCCTCGGGCCGATGCTTTTCGCCCTTACTTGGCCGCCAGAGGCTCCCTCTCTCTCCCTCTCCCGGGATTTTGCTGCCGGGCTCCCTCTCTCTGCGGCCCTAGAGTTAATCCCATCCGCCGAGGTGAGGCACCTGTTACCCCTGGCCTTCCTCATCCCCGCGGTCTCTCCTCCATTACACCGCAGCCCTCCCAGCCGCCCAAACGGCGCGGCGCGGCTACCGCACGTGGCCCAAATCCCTTTCCCGGCCGGCACCCCTGGCCCCAGGCCGGCCCGAGCGTGCGCGCGCGTAGCTGCCCGGGCCGCCGCCCGCCAGCAATGGCGTTGGGGAGCGCAGCTTGCCTCCCGGGGCTGCCCGCCGCGTGAAGGGAGCGAGTGGGGGCCGAGGCGCGAGTGGCAGCGGCCGCCGCAGCAGCCCTGCGCCCTGCGCCGTGAGGAGCGGGTGGCGGGGCACTCGGCTGGCCGGCGCCGAGCCGAGCTGCCGCGGCCACCGTGAGGCGGGGGTCGCCTGCGAGGAGGGGCTGGGAGCCGCGGCGGCCCGACCCTCCCCGCCCGCGGCGCTCCCGCTCGGGTAAGGGGGAGGCTGTGCGCGGGGCGAGGAGTTGGGAGGGTGGAGAGGAGGAAAAAACCGGCTTGTACAAAGGCTGAGTTGCAGGCTGGGGGTGGGGGTGGGTTGTGGTGGAGGAGCAATAGGTTGAAGATCGGAGGCATTATCAGTGGGATCTATTGTTTCCTGGCACATTGGGAGGAAAAACAAAGGGATTTATTATCGTTACCCTGTAATTTCTTTCCTTTTTTTTTTTTTTTTTAATGTGGCCAGGGAGCTCGTCTCTCTCCCTGCCACACAGGGATCCGCCTGGCAGCCGCGGGGAGCCGCAGCCAATGTGTTAGGACTTCAGGTGCTTCTTGGCATAAAGCTAGACTGCGACCTCCTACCATAGCGCTTGGCGTCACCTGCTCTCCCGGTCCTGCCCCAGGGCCGAGGGATTGCGTCCCGAACCGGGCTTGGGAATCGGCTGCCTCTCAAGTTGGTGTTATTTATGTTTGTCTTTTGTGAGGGCAGGTTTTGAATCCCCCGGCGGCTCCATCGCCCCCGCCCCCTCCTCCTTGGGTTGGAATTGGCGGGGGAGGGAATGGGGTGTGTGTGTAGGGGAGAAGGGAGGGTGTTTGTGGCTTTGAAAAGAATGGTCAGGGTAAAAGGAGATTGTCGATGCTTTACAAAAAAAGAAAAAACAGGCACCACACTCCAAAGCCGTTCTTGTTTGTCTGCATGGGCCATGCATGCGTGCTGGGCCAGGAGCCGAGTTTGGAGATGGTTTAAGTGAAAGTGTGTGCCTTCTCAGCTGATTGTGCGTGAGAGTGATGTGTCTCGGTCTAATATCAAAACAAAACAAAAACAAAATGAAAAATCTTTAGATTGCCTGCTCCGCAGCGTATCTTGAGGTATTTGATTGCTCGCTGATTGATATAAAATCCTGCTGTGGGCTAAAGGAGACCAGCAAACATGCACTGCATTTTGAACTGTAGTAAGTTAGAGGCAAGAAAGAATAAACAAATCAAGGCTGTGGAAAGAGGTGTCACAGTATATTTGCTTTCTGATTGTCACATTCTTATGCATTTATTCCCATGGTAGTCTGCATCCCACTCCATAATTAATAACCACTGTTAGGAAACTTCCAAATACTTGTTATAACTGAACTTAGAGTGAAACTTATTGCCTTTCACGAACTTTTTTTCTCCTTGTTTTGGTCTGAAATTGCATTAGTATTGCTTTGGAGATGCTGTAGATGAGAATATTGGAGCAAAAAAAGTGAAATAAACCTCTGTAGGCATGTTTTAGAGTTTGTAAACATAGATTCCAAACTTAATTGTACTTAGAAAGAATACGTTCTACTTGATTGTGGAGAATCCTAAGTGAAGTTGATTTTCTGGACAGTTTGATGATTTCTTAAAGATTGATGAACTGCTGGTTTCTTTTAAAGGTATTCACAAAAGTGACCAAAACTTGGGTTTAAAGTATTGCTTTCATATATACTTATGTGTAACTTTATGTGTGTGTGTATGTGTATGTGTGTGAGATTTTGACAGGGATCTCCAAATTGTGTTTGAAACATTTTTCACCAAAGACCAATCAGAATGATAATTTCTTGACTTTTAACTTCCTGTTTCAATGAGTAATCTCTTCTGTTTGACACGTGGCTAAGCCATTTGGAAAATATATATTACTTTACTAGACATAAATTCAAATAAGTAAGTGAATTCAGAAATTCATTCTTTTCTATTGCAGATGAACCCCTAGTTTTGCTTTGAAAAAAAGCATTTTGTGTAACTCTTGACTGTGACTAAGTTACTAATACACCTGTTGGAACGATCACTGACACAGTATACCGTTTGAGAGGTACTTTTTTTGACCCAATACTGGTGATTAAAGAAGAGAGGTATCTTGTTTTTTTTTTTTTTTTTTTTTTTCTGATCATTATGAACATTGGCTTTTCACCCCTGAAGTGAAAATGTTGAAAACTGAGGCTTCGGGTGAACGAACCACTCTCAGAAGTGCCTCTCCTCACAGGAATGCATATCGAACTGAGTTCCAGGCACTGAAAAGTACCTTTGACAAACCCAAGTCAGATGGAGAACAAAAAACAAAAGAAGGTGAGGGCTCCCAGCAGAGCAGGGGGAGGAAATATGGCTCTAATGTCAACAGAATTAAAAACCTATTTATGCAGATGGGTATGGAACCCAACGAGAATGCTGCTGTCGTTGCCAAAACAAGGGGGAAAGGTGGACATTCATCTCCTCAGAGAAGGATGAAGCCCAAAGAATTTCTGGAGAAAACAGATGGCTCAGTTGTTAAGTTGGAGTCCTCTGTTTCGGAACGAATTAGTAGATTTGACACAATGTACGATGGCCCTTCATATTCCAAGTTCACTGAGACTCGGAAGATGTTTGAGAGAAGTGTGCATGAATCAGGACAGAACAACCGCTATTCCCCAAAGAAGGAGAAAGCTGGAGGGAGTGAACCTCAGGATGAATGGGGAGGTTCCAAGTCCAACAGAGGCAGTACTGATTCCTTGGACAGCCTTAGCTCCCGGACTGAGGCTGTCTCCCCAACTGTGAGTCAACTGAGTGCAGTATTTGAGAACACTGATTCTCCCAGTGCCATCATTTCCGAGAAGGCTGAAAACAATGAATACTCAGTGACTGGGCATTATCCCTTGAATTTACCATCTGTTACTGTTACAAATCTTGACACCTTTGGCCACCTTAAGGATTCTAATTCCTGGTCTTCAAACAAGCAAGGTGTTGATACAGAGGATGCTCACAAGAGTAATACAACTCCAGTACCAGAAGTGGCTTCTAAAAGTACCTCTCTAGCTTCGATACCTGGTGGAGAGATCCAGCAGAGCAAGGAAACTGAGGACGCTACAACTAACCAACAGACTCCTGACAGCATTGACAAAGACAGTCCTGAAGAACCTTGTGCTGAAAGTAAGGCAATGCCAAAGTCTGAAATCCCTTTACCACAGAGTCAACCATTAGAAGATGCTGAAACTAATTTGGTTGGAAGTGAGGCAGCAAAGCAGCAGAGGAAAGAACTTGCAGGTGGTGATTTCACCTCTCCTGATGCTTCTGCATCCAGTTGTGGAAAAGAAGTACCCGAAGATTCCAATAATTTTGATAGTTCCCACGTGTACATGCACAGTGACTATAATGTGTATAGGGTGAGATCCAGGTATAATTCAGACTGGGGAGAGACAGGCACTGAGCAGGATGAGGAGGAAGATAGTGATGAGAACAATTACTATCAGCCTGATATGGAATACTCGGAAATCGTTGGATTGCCAGAAGAAGAAGAAATCCCAGCAAATAGGAAAATTAAGTTTAGTAGTGCCCCTATTAAGGTAAGTGTGTTTTCTCAGTTTGTTTTCTGTTTGTTTTTAGTACTAGGGCCTAATTGTATGTACAATAGACTTGTCAGCTAGTAGGAGTTTTTGTAAGGGATTCAAGATTATTGATATACACTTGTGGTCAGTTGATTTTAAAAGTTTGGAATTTGAGAGATGTCAATTAAATTTCTTAAATGTGCTTTGTAACGGCTTACACCAATAGTGAGTAACATTAAAGTTGAAGAAGTTTGGGGATTGTGAGATACATTCCAATGAGCTGAAGTATGAGTAATGTGAGTACTGAAAACCTGGAGTGTTAGTTTGAAATGTAATTACTTAAACTAGTTTTACCTGAAATTATTCATAAATAATATTTTCTGAATGTACACACTGTAAGGTATGAAGTATAATGTACAATGGGAGAGTTATGGTAATCTGGAAATAATACTCTACTTGCTTAAGAAATCTGAGTTATTCCTTAAGTTTAAGGAACTTTTTTTTGGGTACTGCTACTTGGTGGTGAAAATTTAATTCATGGAAATATATTAGCTGACTAAAACGCTTTGAAAAGCTTTGACTGTAGACAGCTTTGAGGTCAAAATTTGTTGTGTAGTTTTAAAATGAAATTTTGTGAAAGAAATAACATTGATTTGCCATTCATGGATTCATTTTTACCTCATAAAAGCTGGATAAATGCCAATTGAATTCACATGCTGTAATGACTTCACTTAGTTAACATTTGGTGTAGAAGAATAGCACAAAGTACATCAGCAGTGGGTGGTAGAATGTTGTTAGTGGATAATAGCAATAGGGGCAGGAGGAGGTTGATTGAGTATCAGAATCTCCTGGGGTGCTTTTTCAAAGTGCGCTTGCCCGCAGCTCAGTCCTGAGATTCTGGCATGCTCTCCTTGGGGAATCTGGAAGTTTATGGTGGCAGAACGTGTAGTTTTAGACTACATTCTAGGGGCTTCAAGCTTACACAGTGTGTATAAATGATAGACTTGTGATTTTGTATATTTCTGTATATTTTCTCAAAATCTAAAATCACTGTTGTTATTTTCATTTTAGGACTTTCCTTTTAAGGCTGTAAAATATAAATGTACATAGAAATATTTAAAGAAAAATCTGACATTGTTCTATTATGAAATACGATTCTGAAATAAAGTAATAATCTATGAAATTATTTACAGATGTTAGCAGGCAAACCTTCATTTTATTAATGTATAGCAGAAGTTCTGGGTCATAATGGGTCACGTTAAGTTAAGCTGTAGTTTAAAATAAGCTGCAGATGTCAATCCAGTTTGAGACTAAGTTTCTTTGCAGTGCTTTACCACCTTCCTTCCTGATTCTCTATCTTCTTCTGCCTTCCTACCCCTCCCCAACCCCCCACTGCCCTACTCTAGACCGTCTTTAAAGGTGCCTTTCCTGCAAGCCTATCCAGTGAGCTCCTAAACTTCGGCTTTCACATCCTTTTTGAACATCGTCTTTCTACCCCTTGGGAAGAAAGCAATAAGATTAAATCGTTTCACACTGAGAAAGGCAGGAATAACTGAAATGAACTCTTCAAGGAGTTTGTTAAACCTGGTGACTAACTTTTTAATACGGGGGATAGCAGCTTATGAAAATTTATCAAGTAGAACACTACCCACTCAGCCAAGTGGGACACCAGCCCTGTATTTGGGTCCTGTGCTGCACAAAACATAACTGTGCAGTACTAGGTTTAATGGACTTTAAAGGATTTGTCATTGAAATATGTCTGTTTATGTGTGAACAAACCAGCTTTTTGGGAATGATATTTTGAAGTTCAAGTAATTTTTGCTGTGATTGCTTATAACAATAAGCATTTTGCCTCTGAATTTTCATATAATAAAGAGACAATTTTATATAGCAAAGAATGAAACATTACCTACGTTTAACACATTTCATCAAGAATAAGATTTGTGAAACAAATTAGATCAAGCAGAAGATTTGTGAAACAAAGATAATGTATTTCATTTTATTGGGCAGTTAACAGGACTAGTTGGAGTGGATTAAATTTGCAAACAGAAGATTCATTCTTAGCCGTTTGTAATGAATAAGACAATGACTCTTGATCCTTCCATTGTTTAATATGCAAGTGGATTCACTTGGAAAATTTGAGAGCTGCTTTCTACTGGTCTTGGTGGTGGTCATAGTGTTTAGGTTATTCTCCAATTAAGATTTTTTTTTTTTTGCCTCAGAGGGTGGTAATACCTAATTAGATTCAATTTAGGTATTTATTGAAGGCTTATCATGTGTGTTCTCTCATGCATATAGCTGAAGAAGACACAAATCTGTAAGGTTACCCATTTCCTCTGTGACTTTATAGAGTCAATTCTTAAACACATTGTGTTTAAAACCCATAAAACAGAGTATAAAAAACTATGCCAAAATGTTTAGTGTCCTGTGAGTCCGTTAATGGCATTTGGTTGTACTAAATTTGTAGAGTGAAAGGGATTGGATAGATTATTTGGAAAGGAATACACACAACCATTTTCTATCTGTGTTTATTCTTTTTATAAAGTTTTAGTTATGGAATGGGAAGTTATAATTCCTAACCTAAACCTTTTCCTTTGAAACTTAAACATGCTTACTCTTAAAGAAGCAATAGGGAATATATTCTTTAAATGAATGATTTTTAGAACTTTTACATTCTTTTCCTGACTGTGACTTTATTCTTTACTAGGTTAACAATTTCCAGCACCTTTGGTTTTTTGTTACAAATCCTGTTTATCATCTTTGTAAATGTAATATTGTCCTCAGTCACTACTTCAGTTCTTTTTATAGATGTTTTGTGGAGACATTTCCATAAGATGTCTTATATCTGGACTTAGAAAAACATCAAAATAATAGTTGATCTTTCCTGTGTGGCATATATCTTGTATTTGTACATATACCCTGACTTTTAAAAATGGTCGGACTATATTGCTGGCCATTAGTTAGTATGATTTTCCTATCTTTTATAGACACAGTTATTTATTATTGGATAGGTTGATGTGTTTCACAGGGTCATGAAATATTAGAATGGGATAATTAATAGCAAATTAAAATTCAACTTCGAGATATGGAATGGGAGAATATTATGAACCATGCTAATTCGAGATGGAATTATGCCTTTGTTCTCAGGAATTTTTCAAAATGAAAGGATTGAATTAAAGTAAATTTGTCTTAGATGAATCAAACAAGAGAGGGTGACATGTCATTTTTTCTACTAATTCAGAACATTTACGGAGCCCCTAATATGTGTCAGGGACAATGCAAATATAACAAATACATAAAATAAGGAGCTGATGAAGTCAGGAGCTGCTGGTAGTTGGGAAGTGTACAGCCCACCGGTACACTTAAGGAAGCTCTCAGGCCGTTCCCAACTCTGTGCTTTTGAGTAAGGAAGCTCTCAGGCTGTTCCCAACTCTGTGTTTTGATGACCTTTCTAAGGTTGCTGCAACCTCATTAAGGAAGTCACAGCCTTTCTCTGTTTCTTATGTCCTTTGGATTGGTATTTTTTTCCCCCTCAAATACTATTGTGTTACAATGGATTGGTATTCTTGAAACAGCACATCTGAAAAAGATTGTTCTAACTCCCAGTTCAGGAGGACATAGCAGAGTTAATATTGAGGTACGTTGTGCTATATTTTGAGTGTTTTCTCAAATCATTTGGAGCATTACAGGATTAGAGTTCAAATAATCAGCAAGGGCAGCAGTGCTTCTTTGAACCTTACATGATATTTGTCAAAAATGGATCTTCCTGTATTCTCTCCCTCTTCTGGGGCTCCAAGTCATTGCCAGGGAGTTCATGGATATATGCAGATTTTTTATTCAACATGGTTTTCAGAGAATAGTTCTGTTGAGTCCCAACTTTTTGTCTTTGTGGAGGCAAACCATTTATAACAGTTTTGTCAGTGCTTCTTAAACTTTAATATTCATATGAATCACTTGGGAGATCTTGTTAGCTTGCAGATTCTGATTCAGTAGGTATTCTGTGGGAAATTACCTTGATGCAATGGTTGGGCCTCCAAGTATACTAGCAGGCAAGCTGTCTCAGAGGTTATGGAATAGAAGGACTCAGCAAACAAATTAAAATGCTTGAATCACAGGATTTACCAAACCGGTTAAGCACAAATCCAGAAGCAAGAGGAAAGCTATGGAGTAAGTTAACACACTTAAGGTTCAAACCAGGTTGGAAGGACCACACTACCTGTGTCCTGGGTAAACAATGTTCCTATATTCCATCTTTCTTTCACATAACCCTTCCACATTCAGAGTGTGGTTATGAGGACCAGAGTTGATATTTGAGCCAACACTCCATAGACTAATGATTTCCTGGGTCGATGATACAAACTTGTTCTATTGAAGAGATGTGACAAATACACTTAGGTACTGCCATAGCTTTGCTAGTTCACCTGCTGATGAGCCATGGAACCATCCTCAGTGTTCACAGTAGATGGCTGATATGGAAATAATGTAGCTGTCAGTCCAGTTATAATGGTGACTTGGTATTTCCATTGCTTTTTGTCTATAAGTAAACCTCATTTGTTCTATCATAACAAATTGTTGTCATGTCTTACTACCAGCTTACCAGTTTATTACACATCTCTTGACTGCCTTCATTTCACCAGCTTGCATTCTTATTATCAATACTTAGCCCAGCCTGAGTGTTGCCTCTGTTTTATAAGTTATTAGTTTATTTACCATCTATGATTATCACTTCTTAGGTGTTTCATCCATCCCATTTGTTTTGTTTACCTCTATAATAGAATTTCATATTCTGAAATAATGTAGGAAAACCACATAACAGTATGTCTGGAGGGGAAGTTTAGATTTTGGATTTCTAACAAGCTCTCAAGTGGTGCTGATGCCGCTGATCAAGAGATCACTCTTTGGAATACTAACTGGAAGTGCAGTCTTCTGGCTTCTGAAAGTGGCTGGCCATAACATGTTAGGGAAACAAAGTAAATCTGCTTTCCACATGGGGCTGCTATTGCTGGTGGGGTGGAATA